ACTGATACTAAAATGAGACCAAATCAACATTGGAGTCCAGCCTAGATGAGAATCGCATGTTAAAATCTGGTCGTATAGCGTGTTTTTTATGACTTGAATTGCTATAGGTCAGAAAAAACCATACAAAAATGGTACATCCTGAAAGTAGAAATATGCGGCTATAACTGGTCTAGTTGGTAGGCGTTGCAAATTACAGGGGGTCTTCTTCATTCTAATATCTATCGGTGGACTCTTGAATTGGCTCAATATGAAGTAGCATTGTTGGAAAGAGTGTTTGATATGCTATTGTGTTAACAAGCTCACCGACATGTCTGGCTTCTGAAAATGGATTTGATAGAACTGATTGCCTGAAAAGACTGTGAAAAATGTGAATCAAGTGAGGCCGGTTTACACCAAATCATTGCAACCACAACAACATTGTCTCAGTAGACTTATCGAAACTCAGTTCTGTCTGGTATATTCGACAAGAATATCTGCTCAACTTTTTACAGCCATTCTCTCTGTTACTGGCTGAGCCGTGCACCCTTGGACAAGAGAGAGCATAGCTCTTCTCGTCTTATAATGGACTTCATCCAAGTCATCCTGGAACGGCTGTCTGGGCACTTCTGCCATCACAGACAGACCCTGTGTTCATGTCTAAAATATTGGCTCAACCGTTGTTCTCAGCCAATCCAAAGCATGGATTGTTGGGACGAAAAAATCCTAAAGACTTGAGGCTAAGACTGACTGGACGCATCGGCAACGCCGACCAGAAGGTCAGTGAGATGTGTCGTACGTGTACCCATTCGAGGGTGCGAGTCCGGAAGAAGATACAATAGAAAAGTTAGAGTCGAATTCGGATGGTGAAATAAAAAGTTGGTGCCTACTCATGCCACTAGAAGATGAGCACGACCCGAGATTTTCCATTTGCATTAAAACCATTTTTATGGTCCAAAAATAACGTTTCTCCTGAAGCAAAAGTCACAACAACGATGGCAACCACTCATCAGATCGTCTATCCCATCAATGTAGCAGACCCATTGTAGCACAGATGCCTCGTCACCGCATGTACGAGACCATCAGGAGTGAAAGGAAGTTAATGCGGAGGCGTGGGATTTTGCGCAGTTTCTTGCCAGTTTCTGGGCGAAAAGTGGTGGCACAGGCGACATTTGCCCTCTTTAGCAGATCGGCAATTGGGCAAAAACACGCCGGCCAGAAGAGCAGAACGGACGCAGGTGTCACGACAACATGTCGGATAAGTCGGAGTAAAGCGTCATTGGGGTGCATGAAGACTTTCTTCCACCGCCTGCAGCCCCGGACAGAGGATTGAGTGAGAAGTCGACTATTCCCACTCAAAACATGTCAATAGTAAAGTGAGGGATAAGGCCAAATGAGGATACATTCAAAGGTTTCCAGGGCTTTGAGGTGCTTACTTCATGACAGAAACAATTCTTCGCCCAAACTACCTCCAAGAGAGAATACCAAAAAAGTCGTAGGTCATGGAAATGATGACCTTTATTTGATGTGAGAGTGTGTTGTGAAGAGATTTGTAGGTTGATTTCAAGCGAAAATGACGACTGACTACCATTGGTCAGTACTGCCCTGATGTTACTTTGGCGTTCAGTTTGACGCAGTCCTCGAGGCATTCTTCTTTGATTTTAAAGATGCGCCTCATTCAAGTCAACAATACCAATGTAATATGCCATATGACTAAAAATATTTTAATAAATAAAATAGTTATTTGACTAGTACATTTAATATTAATTTGAGTATTGTCCTATTTGACTGCCTGTATGCCCACACAGTTGAGGTAATTTGTGATGACACAAACACAAAAACAGTCTAGCTCAAAAGTATTTGGAGTAACAGGAATAAGACTGACCTAAAAATTCTATATACATTTTTTTTCGGTAATTACTTAGTCATAAGTATTCATATTATGTAAGGTAGAGCCAGTTAGTAGTCTAGACATTCTGACAATTTTTGTCCATTTTTTTCGTGAATGAGTAGGTTTTCGATACCACCAATAAATCAGATGTATGAATTTTGTTTTCCCATTTCTTTTAAGGTGATGAATGACTAGTAGTTGATTTTTCCCACAATGATATGTGTACAGTTGACGTTTCCATAGAATTTCGCATAGCCTTGCTGTCCCAAAGAGTGCTTTCATCACGGCTGGAGTGAACTGCAGTTTCGACCTCGCCTCAACTGGTCTTATCAACACCCCCAGCGAAAGTGGAGCTTACATGCTGCACTGTCATGGTTCGAGCCCCAATAAGAGAGTTTTGATAAGACCCAGGTGAGGTCGAAACTGTTGTCCACTTTATATTGAATGAGAACTCCTTTTGGAAAAACAAGACACTGTGAAATGCAAAGAAAATGTCAGCTGTATTCATATGATTATGAGGAAATCGAACTACCACTCCTTCATCGCCTTAAATGAAATAGGATGAACACAGCTAATATACCTTTTGTCTATGCCTTTTATAGGACAGAAGAAAGCTTAGCCCCATTTTGCCCCCTTCAGAGGAGATTTCATAGTATACTATGTCAGCATAACCATCATAATGACATACAACGATCCTAGAACAACGGGAAACAGCCGTCATCTTCTGGAGGGATCGATGTAAAGGTCTTTTAATTACACAATTTCTTAGGAAATAAAAGTCACCACAACAAATCTACCTCAAAAAGCTGATCACAACCCAGTTATACTTGGTATATACTTCTTTGTATCCTCTGTTCGATTACAAATTGAGCTCAATTACAAGAAAAATGGAAGAATATTATATAAATTGTGCACAACTTTGGTATCAAGACTCTTTGTTCTACCCCTTTCAAGGAAATTTATATGGAGTGTGTTTTGATGAAGTTTCGAAAACGTATGCGTTAACAAGTTTGTGTGCCTAAACTTCATGTTCAGGCGGCAAACTCGTGACAACATTCTAAAAAGCCATTGCGAGACCATCTGCCTGATAGCTTTCAGTTGTAGGGGGAGGTTTATATTGCCATTGTTCATTGGCAGGAGAAGAGTTAGTGTGAAAGACGTAACCACAAGAGACGATTATGGCAGTCTGTTGCCAGACTGGCTCGCCTGGATCAAGAAAGTATACTTTGCAGGAGCTATCAGTTTTGATGAAACACATGTTAGCTCGAAACTGCCGTCCAGTCTGAATGCTAAAGAGGTTTGAAGAGCAAGACTAAATGAGATTAAATGTAGTATTGAGGTCTACTCAACAGATTGTTGTAAAACACAACTGCCAGCCCTTCGTCACCTCAAGCGAAATAGGGTGAACACATTTGAAATATATGATTATAAGTAGTCTTGAAGCCCTACTTACAAACGTAAAACGAGTTCTCATTTGGGAAATCTTGATCAAAAGTGAGCCTGAACAAGTTAATTATGCGAAGCCATTACATGCCCTTTTCCGCAAGCCTGAGGAGGCTCCAAAACCAAGCACAATGAAATGCCCATGCGGCATCAAAATTCAAAAAACTCCGGTCACCAGCCCTCTTGCTCGACTGGCTTAAAGAGCAGAAGATAATATTTTGCTTTAGGATCTGTGCATCGAAGTACTACAGAAACAAAAGTTAACTGTCCTTTATGTTGAATATATCGAAAAATAATGCTACTTTAGTGCTCTTCTCGTTGAAGAAAGAAGAAACTTTTAACGCTGCTCCTCCAAGCATGCGAATAACCTTCAGTTTGTAGTTGCTGATGGATAATCCATCAAATAAATCACCTGATGAGGAGATTAGAGTAGAGCGCATCTGCAAGTTGCTTCACTCATGCTCAATATAGACATTTTTAAATCTTTCACCAAAAGAAATTGGTTGATCTCGTTGTCGCAACTTTGCCTTGTTGTTGGCGACTTAGTAGAACGCACCTAGTCCGAAGTCGTCTGCCATATTAGTTGTCATGATTCCCAGCATCAGAAAGTGGACT